TCGCTTCAAAGTGTCCAAGTTCCGACACATGGAGGCTCGGCCGCCCCGCCGCGAGGTGAGCCCCGTCCGCAGGCCTGCGTTCTCGGCCCGATTCCAGGCCAACCCCCTGTCCCTGCCCGGGAACCCCCGACTGCCAAGCCCCCCGAGCCTCCAGACTCCCGGACGCCCCCTGCAGGCCCGGCCCTGCTTACAGCTGCCCGGCGTCCCTGGGAGCAGAGTCCGGCTCCCCGGTGACGCGCCGGCTGCTCGGGGTCCCGGTGGCAAGCCCGCTCCGCCGGCCCACCCGCCTCGCCCCGGGACCCCCGAGGCGGTGCAGCCCTCGGCCGTGCCGGAGGCTTGCGACGCTGTCCGCTTCCCGGCTTCCGGTCGGCCGCCTCGGGGAGCTACGGTTCTGGGCGCCAGCTCCTCCGCCTTGTCGCCTGGGGGCCCTTTTGCCCGGGGCTGGGATGTGTTGAGATGCCCGTCTCTGCTCTGGCCTGGCTGACCCGAGCTTGTCGGCCACAGACGGGGAGCCTCGCGCCCCTCCCTCGGGTTTCCGCTGGCGCTTCCTCCTCTCTCGGTTGGCGCAAGCTCTTCCCTTGCTCGAGGGGTGCGGGGGCCTGGGTGGGGCCTGGGGACGGGAGGAACCGACGTACTGGGGACCACCTCGGACCTCAGGAGGACGGCGGCCTGATGAGGGGTGTGCGTCCGAGACGGTGGTCTTGCACCCAGTTTCGGGGATGTTCTCCAGTAAAGGGGCCTCTGAGTTGATCTCTGGTGACCATGACGGGCCCAAACAGCGTCTGATCATCTTGTAGCACGGCTCCCCCCTTTTATTCTCTCCACTCTATTTCCTCTGCGCCACCTAAGTGCTATACCCAAGGAACCCTGGTGACTCATTGGATAAGTGCTTGGCTGCCAACAGAAAAGTTGGTGGTTCTCCTCCAGTCTGCGGAAGAAAGAAAGACCTGCTGTCTGCTTCCGTAAAGATTACAGTCTAAAAAATCCTATGAGATATTTCTCCTGTGTCACATTGTACAAAAAACAGGCTGATGGCCCCTGAAAACAGTTGCCATAGGCACATAGTAAACATACCAGTCCTACAGGCTGGGGTGGGGACAGACACCCAAGAAGCAAACAGGGATTTGAAGCCATTGCAAGTTTTAATAAGTGCATTGAAACCCTAGGGGGCAGTGAGTCTTAGTTAACTGAGGAGGAACAACTCAGGAGGAGGAGGAGGGTGGTCACAAACTCCAAGAATGGGATTGATGTCACTGAATTGTACACACAGAAGCTGTCGAATTGCTTTGTGTTTTGCTGTGTATATTCTCGCCAACAACAAAGTAACATTAAAAAGATAGTAATAATAAATGCACTGAAGATCACCAGCAAGGGGGTGGAGTGGGGAAGTGGGGGGGTGGCGGCTCATCACAGGAGGGCGGTCAGGGTGGGCCACCACCTCACGTGGAAGGTGAGGCAGGAAGGGAGAGGAGGCCTCTCTATGACCGTGTAGAGCAGGGGGAGTAACTTAGTGGGCAAAGCTCTTGGGGCCCGGAGCAGGAACTGAAAGTGGACCAGGGTGCGGGAGCTCACCAGCAGAGGAAGGAGGGGTAGGTGATGGCAGAGCTGGCTCACAGAGCCGAGGGCCCCCGGAAGAAGTTGGGTTTCATTCAAAGGGGAGAGCCTTTGAAAGGTTGGGAGGAAGTACAGCGAGGTGCTTAGATGAACATGACAACAGCCGTGCCTGTTGCTGTAAGTCCTGCCTGGGGCCCTGGCGCTTGCTCCCACGTGGCCACGGTCCAGTCGGGCAGACAGGCAGGTGTGGACACATGGATGACAGAGTCACACAGTTTATGTTGCAAAGGTAGGAGCATCACAGGTGAGCTGTCTCTTTTGCAAAGTTCCTCCCAGTGACTGTCTTTGTACAGGAAACACCCACCAGCAGGGGACAATAATGCAAGGTGGGCAGGCGCTCCTGTGCCAGGTGTCAGAGCTCTAGTGGCACAGCACTTAAGGCATCTGACTGCTAATCAGGAGGCTGGCGTTTCAAACTCCCCCACAGCTCCGCGCAAGGAAGATGGGCAGTCTACTTCTGTAAAGGTTTATGGCCTTGGGAACCCAATAGGGGCCACCATGAGTCGGACTGGACTCGATGGCAGTGGATTTGGTTTTCGGTTTGGTGGCAGGTGAACAGTGAGGTAGGGTCTTTAGGTGTTTGCAGTGGTCTTGGTGATGCCGTTGGTGGACTGAACTATGGGTATGCGGTTGTCAAGCAGCAATTGAGAGCGTTGAGTGGTGCTTTGATACCAACAGAGAAAATATGTGGACCTTGTTGATCTTCATTTCGGAGCAAGTGCTCCTCCGCCTCCCTGTGTGTGGGGGAGTTTGCGTCACTGTCACTGTCACCATCACCGCCTTTCAGGAGGGTGAGCAGTCTACCCACCTGCAGAGCATGTTCTCCCAGGTGGCCAGGCCTTGATGTCCCCTTCTCTGAGCTTGGGCGTTTCCTGCTGGAGGATGGGTATCCTGGACACGTGTCCCTCAGCGGGATAGTGAGGGGGCCAAGTCCGTCTTCTCCTTTGGGTGCTCACTTCTTTCTTTGCTTTCTTCCCACCCTTTGAACAGAAATGAGCCCCTACACACACACACACACACCACACAGCTACACGTATCACACACACCTACCCACACCCACACATACACCTCACATACATCTACATGTACACTCCTACACACACCCACACCCCTATACACTCACACACCATACACACACATACCTCTACACAGCCACACACCTCTCACACACATACACACACTCACACACACACCTACACATATCTACACTCAAATATACCCATACACCCTACACCACACCCCCTACACACATACCTACACACACATACACTTATATGCAGCCACACACATACCCGCACGCACACACCAACACACACCCTACACCACACATGCACATACACCTCACCCACCCATATACACCCTCACACACCCTATGCACTCACACACACCTACACACACATCTACACACAACCACACATAACTACACCCACACCCACACCTGTACACATACCCACACGCAGGCACATATACATCCCCTATACCACACCCACACATATACCTCACACACACACACACCCACCTATACATGCACTTCTATACACATGCACACACACCCCATACACTTATACCACACCTACATGCACCCCCTATGCACACACACCTACACACTTACACTCCTACACACAGCCACACACACCCACATACACACACACCTGTACACACAGACACACCCCTACACACACTCTGCCCAATTGGCCTGTTGACTTCACTCAAGACTTCTGGCCCCTCCTCTGGCTCATTAGGGAGCTGATCCAACATGCAGACTCACCTTGTTCGTGGTGTAGCCCTTAGAGCCCTTGTGGTGCGGCCAATTTGCCTTCAGCTGCTGACCTAAAGGCTGGTGGGGCAGTTCTGCTCTGTAAGCCATGGGGTCACTCTGAGGCCGGGCCGAGGTGGCTCTGGCACAGCTAACTATAACAACAGTGATTGCGTTCTCTAATGCATGAATAGGGTCAGGGTTTGCACCAGAGGAGAGCATTTCTAATGGTGCAGATTTAAGGTGGAGTTTCTCAGTCAGTTCCCCACTTTCTGCCTTGGGTATGGGCGGGCTGAGGCCTGGCC